ACTAGTGTGCTGACTCCCTCACCAGTGTGCTGACTACTGAACTAGTGTGCTGACTCCCTCACTAGTGTGCTGACTACTGAACTAGTGTGCTGACTCCCTCACTAGTGTGCTGACTACTGAACTAGTGTGCTGACTCCCTCACCAGTGTGCTGACTACTGAACTAGAGCTGATTGAGACGCACCCTGAGATTCAGTCTGGACTTATTTTTCTTTCTGTTAATTATTCTGATCTTAAACACACAGAAAAACTCGACTGAGACACACGTGACACACTATTATAAAGATGGAGTTTATTAAAGAGGAGAGTGAAGACGTGAAGATTGAAGAAACATTCAGAGTCAAACATGAAGATACCGAGGAACAAAAAGGTTGGTTTTCATTTTCAAAGCTGAACTCATTTGATCCTTATTAAAATCTCCAGCTCTACAGAAAAATAGTACTTACTTCGATACCCAACCCTACTCTTAACACTCCTGTCAGTAAGTGCTGAGAAAACAGCAGTCTGCTGTTTAAGGTAGCGCTCAAGCATGTCACAGCTTGAGTTCCACCTGGTTTGAACATCCTGAATCAGCTGCAGCAGTAGTGCTACGATGGAAAAAAAAGTGACCACCTTTCTCACTCTGCCTAAAAGCCACAACATCTGGTTAATGCCCATTCCCTTCTGTGATGCCAGATTAACTGTGCGCGCAAAACATCGAATGTTTGGTGAAAATCCGGCTGCTTCAACTGCATTCACAATATTTTTAGCATTATCTGTTGTCAGAGGAATAGTGGCGTTTTCTCTGTCAGTTTTCCACTCTGCTACAGCTCCCTGTAGTATTTCCAACAGATGATCACTTGTGTGGCTTTCATAGACAGCATGTGTCTGCAGAATGGGATATGCAATTACCCAGTTGTCGGTAATGTTACGCCATGATCGTAATGAAGGACTGAGTTGCAGGGAGGTCCACCCATCCGTAGTGAAAGCAATGAATTTTGCATTGCTCAGGTCCTCCACCAGTTTGGCTTTCACCAGTTTGAGGCAGCACATTCTGACTGAAATGTGGTTGGCTCTGGGCTCCAACACACTATCCTTCTTAGAAATAAATGGTATCTGTGAGAATTCCCAGTCAGGATTTAGACCGTATCATAGTACTGAGACTGCTCTCATCAGTTACAAATGACCTGCTCTTATCATCCAATCATGGTTGTATCTCTCTATTAGTGCTACTGGTTCGTAGTGCTGCGTTTGACACTATCGACCACAACATTCTTTTGAGTAGACTACAAAATGATGTTGGAATTAGTGGAATTGCATTGTCTTGGTTCAAATCTTATCTGACCATCATCAATTCGTAGCTGTAAATGACGAGATATCATATCGATCACAAGTACAGTATGTTTATTTAGCGCCCAAACTCTGGAACAATTTACCTAGCGTTGTTCAGGAGGAAGACACACTCTTGTCAGTTTAAATCTAGATTAAAGACCCATCTCGTTAACCTGGCATACACATAATACACTATCACAGTTTTTATAATTCAAATCCGTTGAAGGATTGTTAGGCTGCAGTAATGAGGTCAACCGGAACTGGGAACACTTTCCATAACACCCAATGTACTCACTACATCGTAAGAAGAATGGCATCTACGCTAAAATTAGTCTCTTTCATTCTTATTCCATGGTCACCGTAGCCATACGGATCCTGTATCCAGATCAGATGGTCACTGTAGCCCCCTAGATCAAGACCAGATGGTGGATCAGCACCTAGAGACGACCTCTACAGCCCTGAATGTCAGTGGAGACCATGTCAACTAGATGCGCCCCAGAGACACATCCCCTGTGAAGACCTCATCATCTCGACGACCATCGGCACAAGACCACGAGAACCAGACAAGTCCCCTGCACAATCTGACCTGTGCTGCAGCCTGGAATTAAGCCACGCCAAGCTGGTTTCATCTGGACAGTGGAGAACTGGCCCCCTGACTGAGGCTGTTTTTTCTCCATTTCTGTCACCGATGGAGTTTTGGTTCCTTCTCAATGTCGCCTTTGGCTTGCTTAGTTGGGGACGCTTGACTGATTGGAAGAGAGCTGAACTGGATGATGACATGACTGAATCATCAATAATCTGACGTTATCTGGAAAAATGACTCTTTGTTATTGTTGTCTTGCATTATTGACAAACTATTTTCCTGTCTGACACTGTAAAGCTGCTTTGACACAATTATAAAGCACTATATAAATAAAGGTGACTTGACTTGACTTAGCAAATGATAAGCCGGGAAGATTTAGGGATGATAAGCTCATCACAGAAAAAAATACAATCACAATATTTGGATGCTGAATTTATATGTATTCTATCCTATATATGGATTCTACAAATATTGCAATATATTGTGATTTTTGTTTGCTTTGCAAATGTTTAATCATACAGACGTGATGTATAAGCTTAATAAGCACAGTTGCTGTGTTATAATGGGGCTTAAATCCTGACTGATATTGTTTCTCTGCAAATCTGAACATTGTAAAAAAAAAATAATAATTTTTTTAACAAATATATTTTATACCCTGCAGAGTTTAGCTCCCCCTCTAACTGAACACACCTAAATCAAGGTCTTCATTACTTGAAAACCAAAGGTAGGTGTGTTGGAGCTGAACTCTGCAGGACTGTGACCCTCAACAAGCTGAGTTTGACACTCTTTGATTTCTGTTCTACTGTTGCGTTTAAATGGGTGTTAACTTGTATTTGTCTCTTTTCACCCTAGACCTGAAAGAGGAGCCTGAAGAACTGAATGAAATGCAAGATAAAGATCAGTATAAGAAACATCATGATTTCATACCTAGACAAAAATCACTTAGTTGCTCACAGACTGCAAAGACTTCCTTACAAAAAAGAGCTCAGAAGGCTAGTTCTAGAAGTCGTTTCAACTGCCAACAGTGTGGAAAGAGTTTTGACCATCAAGGAAAACTGAGAGTCCACATGAGAGTTCACACAGGAGAGAAGCCTTTCACCTGCCAACAGTGTGGAAAGAGTTTCAGTGAACATGGAAACCTTAAAGTCCACATGAGGATTCACACAGAGGAGAAGCCTTTCACCTGCCCTCAGTGTGTAAAGAGTTTTACTCATAAAAGCACTTTGAATGTTCACATGGCAATTCACACTGGAGAGAAGCCATTCACATGCAAACTGTGTGGAAATAGTTTCATTGAAAAAGGAACCCTTAGAAGGCACTCGAGGATTCACACCGGCGAGAAGCCTTACACATGCCCTCAATGTGGAAAGAGTTTTACTCAACAAGGAAGCTTTAAAAGGCACAAGATAATTCACACTGGAGAGAAGCCGTTCACATGCAAACTGTGTGGAAACAGTTTCACACGACAAACAAGCTTTAACAGGCACATGAGAATTCACACCAGAGAGAAGCATTAAGCATTTATGTGGCAAGAAGAGCAGGGGCCGAGAGCCGTGGGAACGAGTCTCACAGAAGGAGATCTGGAAGGATAAAAGGAGGAGTGACGACAGTGCAAGACTGGAGAGGACAGGCCTGGACTTCATGTTGTGCTTTATGTTTTTTATGCGGCAGTCGTCTGTGAGGGGCTGCTGCTTTACTTTTCTTTTTGTTGTTTGTTTATTTAATAATTCAAGTTGTGTGAATGTTCACCGGTTCCTGCGGCTCTCAGCCCTGCCCTGCATGCCTCATGTATATTGTCGGTATGTGATTTAACATTTTGGAGTGAATCAGACACTGAAGACTTGATCAGAATTGTGTTGAAACAGCACATAGAACCAAATTCCACAAAAGGCCCTGAGTCTCACACTGGATGACCATAAAACTGAGACCTGTCAGTTGGCACCACAAAGCCTGAGTTAACTAGTTACTCCTCCATGGACGACTGAATAAACTAACGTAAGAACTCCTCCAGCGTTGTCAACTTTAAGCAGTTAACCCAAGATAAACGGGTCTGGAGACACACATTCTGAATCTCACAGAGAAAATCATAAGACAAAAGTGGGACTTCCCTCACTCAAGATAAAGAGCTAAAGCCAGACTCCCTTTTGACCTTTTCCTTGCTCGCATGACTAAAATCATCTCTAAAACCCACAGAGACTGTCTTTACATATATAAATATGCTTCAGATCATAACAAAATGAGGCTAAGAGAACTTCATTTGAATAATTCCATATTATGACTGACTGTCATCCACATAATATGTTTTTTATTCAAGATTAATGCCATTATGAATAACTGAATCGTTTACAGTGAGTATGTGGTTCTGGTATGATGTGAATGAAAATTATTTTTCTGAATGTTGATATCAGTTAATTCTTGGTAAAAATGTATCATATTCTCAGTATAGTAATCGAGTATATATTATATTTCACAAGAGTGGGAAAACTAGGAACGATGTGACTGAGAAGATAATGTTTTGATTTATATGAGGGCATAGCTCAATAAAGCTTAGAGTCTGACCTTTACATGTAGCAGATTTGATTAACCCCAAAGTAGTGCTTATTAATTAATAGAGTTATTTGCTGATAAATGAAAAAAAAAAATTCATAATTGACAAAATATGTTTTTTGTACAATGTACTGTAATATGTCAGAAACATCATACAGCTCAGATAGTCGTGTGTCATATTTTTTATGTCAAGCTTTGACTAAACCTGAGCGAGTTTTTCTAAGAGAAACCCCCAGACCCATATGAAAATAGTACATGGATGCGGCTTTTATGTCACTTCATTGCTTGCAACTTCATAAAACATGCTCAGATCGTGACAAAATACACAACGTTATTTAGAACACATTCTCTTGATTAAAAAGAGCCCAAACTATAATCTGTCATTTATATCTAAAGATATTCCTCATTAATTTATAACACACATAAAACTGCACAGGCAACATGTAGCTTAGCAAAAAAATCTAAAGTAGCTTTTATGTGGCGTTTTCACTCGTAACTTTATGAAACAAGCATATATCATGGAAAATAGAACGTCATTATTTGCAGAAAATTCTCCCGATTAAAAAGAGCCCAAATTTACCATAATCCGTTGATCTGAAGATATTCCTTATAGAGCTGTAACACATAAAACTAGACAGGCGCAAGTGAGGCACAGCAAAAAAAAAAAAACTAGATGAGAGCGGGGACAGTTACAACACTTTTTGTATTTCCTTCAGTTTCTCAGAGACTGTTTTTAGTGGAAAGCCAAAATTTTAATACATTAATCCCACATTTGTCAGAGACCCACCTACATTGCTCTAACATGCATACATGTGATAATATATGTACAATTTATACTTAAACAGACTAATTCAAATGCTGCAACTGACCCCAAAACGGGACGGTTGCAACATTCATTAAAATGTAACAATAATTGTTAAATTGGCCGTATAAAGACAAAGACTAGTAAAAGGAAAAGTAACAACCACATTTTGGTTAATCATATGGCCTACAAAAAATTTGAACTACAGAAGACACTGAAAATTTACTGAAATATTCTGTGAACTCCTCTGAACTGTGTGAGTGTGTGTGAACAGTTAAATTGACTTTATAAAGACTAAATTGGGAAAAAAACATATTTCCAAGTAATGAGTAACAAACAATGTTTTGATGAATTATTACAATAAATTTTAACTACAAATAAAAAAAATATAAAATAAAAATCTAATTTACTATGGTGAACTTCTCTGAACTGTGTGTGTGTGTGTGTGTGTGTGTGTACCTACTTATGTCACTTTTGGGGACATTCACCAGAGTACACACCGGTAAACTGAGGACCACCTTGACAATTTAGGAATTTTTTGATATCCTCATTTGTTTGACTATATAATAGCATTTAGCATGCACTAAAATGGTGTCCAGCCTTAAAATCTCACTTGTCCCAAAAATGCACTTTTAAGTGATTTGTGTACTATAGTGTGTATGCACCCCCACTAATTTGTGTATAATGCAGCGCCCTCTAGGAGGAACTGCACTTCCTGAAAGATACACACTTTGGGGATTCTGACCAATCAGAGGCCAGGGAGAATTAGGACCCCATGTCGCTCCTATGGGCCATTGTATGAATTGCACCTTTTGAATAATTTATAAATTTGACCAATCACAAAGTCAATTACGTCATCAGTAAAGACTGCGGAAATCACACATGAAAGAATAAACAGATAATACAGTAATTTAAAACAAGTTTCCAGTATTTCGTTTTTACATAAAAACTGACT